AATAAATATTTCAAGGATTTGTTTAATAGTAGCAGGTGCAACTTTGATCCAGGGAGGAGGAGGAGGAGGAGGGAAAATTTTCTGCCTTTTAACATAATTTAGAAAATTATTAAAATCAATATTTCATATTTTTTCCTTTCAGCATCGATATTCTCATACTCTAACATATCATTTTTAAAAAGGGACATCAATATTTACTTTACCGAGAATTCATGTTCAAAATGGCGCATGCTCTACTGAAGACAGAAGAAAGAAAGAAGAAAGACAGGGAAAAAAGAGCACAACAGTCAGTATTCCAGCATTCGATTATATCCATTCAACAACAAGAGAAGAGAAATACAGATATAAGTAGCCTGATATACAGGACCCAATGCACATAATTGCATTAATTGGTCTGCTGATGTGTTTGCCTTATCCATAGGTTCAAACAGGTACTTGTGACAAATACAATAACATCAGACACGTTCAAAAATTTTAAACATTAAAAATTGCAGTGAACATATTAAGCTACTTAATATGATTGAACTATCTGTCCACATTGCCCTGATTTGTCCATTCTGATTGGCAGAAATTTCCCACAATCTCCGGAAAATTGGGTTTTCCTCTGCCTTTCAAACTGGCGATGCTAAGAACTGAATCTAGAAAAAGAACATAGGCTCTATAATTCTGCTATGAAATACAGTTTCTGTATTATCAGAACTACTATAAAAATATGAGGGTGTGATGGCTCAGTGGTTAAAGATGCTAAGCCTGTCAGCCGGAAAGCTGACAGCTCGGCTTCAAATCTTGAGTGCCAAGCAATGTGGTGAGCTCCACTTACTTGCCACAACTCCTGCCCACCTAGCAGTTCAAAAGCATGGAAATGTGAATAGATAAATAGGTACCACTTTGGTGGGAAGGTAACAATGTTCCATGCCTCTTGGCGTACAGCTATTTTGGCCACATGACCACGGAAATGTCTTCGGACAATGCTGGTTCCCTTGGCTAAGAAATAGAGATTAGCACCACCCCCTCGAGTCAGACTTGATTGGAAAGGGGGAACCTTTACCTTTACTATAGAAATACTCCGCCAAACTTAATTGTAAAAAAGCTACATCCTTATACCCTGTCTTGTCCAATTCAGACCTGGAAATAAGATGCCTTGAGGAGGTATCACGAATAAACAACATTGAAATTGGAAAATAAGGTGAAAAAATACACAAGTGAGGTAGCCCTCAATTCACAAAAGTTTACATTTTTAGTGACCATTCAAATTTACACAAGCACTAAAAAAAAGTGACTTATGACCATTTTCCACACTTGCGACTTTTGAAGCACCCCCATGGTCACATGATGAAAATTCAGACATTTGGCAACTGGCATGTATTTATGATGGTTGCAGCCTCCTGGGGTCACACAATCTCACCTTTTCTGACAAGCAAAGTCAACGGGGAAGCCATATTCACTTAACATCTGTGATAGTAACTTACTTAACTGTCTTAAAACTGCAGTGATTCACTTAACAACTGTAGCAGGAAAGACTGTAAAATGGGGCAAAAGTCACTGCCTTGCTTAGCAATGGAAATTTTGGGCTCAATTGTGGCCGTACATAAAGAGGTCCACTCCATATTTTACTGTACATAAAACATCCCAATGATACTGGGTTGCTTAAAATCTAATAACTGGCATTTTTCATCCTTGTTAATTAATGATAGTAATCCTGATCAATCAGCTTTACAGTCTCATTCTACTCAAGTGGGAATTAATCAGAGTAACTGTGCAAGTAGCAGTTATTTCTATATTCTCACCTTATTAGTGATATACAGACAGAAACCTATTTTTACACAGTTGCTGTCTCAGGCTAAATCAGCAAGTGTCTGTAACAAAATTATCTAAGATGTGGCACTACTGATCTCCATCACTAGATGTCAAAGTAAATTTACAATGCAAACAGCCTCAAAGAAACGTAAGATAGGCAATGGATTCATGTTACTATGATCAAATGGGAACTTAAATACTAAGTTACTGTACTATTCTGTAACTGTCAGAATAGATGTCATGGGTTAATCATATGAAAGCATTCTCTCATTCATTCTCTAATTTGTCTCTCTGTAATGCTTTTCTGCAGCCACACTTGAAAGTAGAGAAAAGAAAATTTTGCAACCAAGATAAAAACCATGTAGTATAATATGAATATGGTATGATTTATATGTTACTATTGGGTTCAATGGGATTTACTTTTGAAGATCGCAGCTAAGTTCAAGCTTATCTGATTTAAGCAAGATAGATATTTGTGAAAAGTGTTTTTTTTATATTGCAGAACCACTCTCCTACTGGGATCAATGACAATTTTACCGCCTTTTTCCATGTAAATTTTTTAAGAATAAAAGCTAACAAGCAACACTCATATGCTTCCATCCCTTGAAAAACTAACTAAACGTATTGCAAACATATAACCATAAACACTCACCTATCACTCAATTTATGTCAGAATATTCATGAACTGGAATAGGACATAGCAATAACTCAGCCATTGGGGACTGGCTGGAATAGGATGTGGAACAAAGTCAGCCAATGTATAGGCATGGCAACTGGGTCAGCCAATGGGAACTATTTGGCGACTGAGAGCAATGCCAGATGACTCAGAGCCTGGGCGTGGCTTACCTATGTAGCTCTGAGCCTGTGCAAGTAAACTAATCTAGTCTGCTCTGAACTCTGAATTGAAACTGTTCTCTCCTCTGCCTGTGAACCAGCTGTTGGTATTGCTACCTTCATATATCACATTATTATTATTGATAATTAACTTGCAAACATTTTCTAAGCCAGCTTTCTCTGATCTTTCCTGTGATTATTCTACTATTTTATCCCTTCATTAAACATATTTATTGTTTAATTCTGGATGTTTCCATTCCACTGTTCATTCCTCAAACTAGCAGCAGTAGTTTGAAAGAAATCTATTATTACTTTTATCAGTCTGAACTGAAGGAGAACAAAGGACAAAGACGTGGATCTGGCAATAGTGAAAATCCTCTTGCCCCACAGAAGAAACAGGACAGAACTCAGCAATCTCCTTTAATGAAGAGAAGGGGGGAAAAAAAACTATTCTCAGTTTAATTCATTCACTATTGGTCTGGGATACCAAGGGGGGAAACTGATGTAGGTAAGCCTGCTGGCCAGATTTGATAGGTTTTAGGTTTTGGTAATATTTTTATTGTTGTTTTTAACTTGCTTTTTTGCCTCTCTTGAGTTCTATATCCAATGTGCACCATATAAATTGAATAAATTAATAAAACCAGCCAGTATTTCCTTTACAAGCCCTGGCACTCATACGCTGGGAAGACAGGTAAGGCAGGTGTCCTGTCCACTTTGCAACAATTTTAGCTACATTTAAGTTTAAAACAAACAGCTTAGCCTTCCAATGTTATTAGTACTGCGGAAACACAAAGGTCTGCAGTTGTTTTCAAAGGGACCTAGAATCTTGATAGATTCCTCAGTTCATTATTGCAAGATGCATAACTGCTCTTTTACACCTATACACCACTCCTTTCTTTTGTCTTTGCTACTTAAAAAAAAAATATCCTGGCAATGGCTGAAATAGCACATACAATCCAATAGCATCCCACAGTCAGTGGGATGCCAAAGGATGAAAAGCAGATTTTTACTCAGATATACTTGTGTTCCAGACAGATGTAGAATCTTTAAAGGGCCTCAAATATCTTTTGAATAGAATAGAATAAACAGAATTGGAAGGGACCTTGGAGGTCTTCTAGTCCAACCCCCTGCTTAGGTAGGAAACCCTACACCACTTCAGACAAATGGTTATCCAATATTTTCTTTAAAACTTCCAGTGTTGGAGCATTCACAACTTTTGGAGGCAACTTCTGTTCCACTGATTAATTGTTCTAATTGTCAGGAAATTTCTCCTTAGTTCTAGGTTGCTTCTCTCCTTGATTAGTTTCTACCCATTGCTTCTTGTCCTACCCTCAGGTGCTTTGGAGAATAGTATGACTCTCTCTTCTTTGTGGCAACCCCTGAGATATTGGAACACTGCTATCATGTCACCCCTTGTCCTTCTTTTCATTAAACTAGACTTACCCAGTTCCTGCAACAGTTCTTCATGTTTTAGCCTCCAGTCCCCTAATCATCTTAGTTGCTCTTCTCTGCACTCTTTCTAGAGTCTCCACATCTTTTTTACATTGTGGCGACCAAAACTGGATGCAGTATTCCAAGTGTGGCCTTACCAAGGCATTATAAAGTGGTATTAATTAATACTTCACGTGATCTTGATTCTATCCCTCTGTTTATGCAATCTAGAACTGTGTTGGCTTTTTCGGCAGCTGCTGCACACCGCACTTCTTGAAACTATTCTGTGTAACAATTCAGAACTATGATCCTCATATTACAAAGGAGGAACAGAAGGTGGTTTACTAAAGCTACCTTATCGCCCAGACAAGGTTTTCTGATTTATAGTTCAATCTCTTAATCACTATACCGTGCAACTATTGAACTAGAACCAGCTATTGCCACTGCAGGAATAAGCAGTTTGAAACTTCCTTTCCTCTTGCTAGGAACCAACTGCCCAAGTTTCGAGATTTATTTCTTTTCTATGACGATCTTCTGTTGACATGCCAAACAAGGGGTGTGTGTGTGTACTATTGACACAAAGGGAATAAATTATTAGTCTTATTGCACACAAAGGACAAAAGCAGAGCACCCAGAAAGAGTCTACACGGCGCGACATATTACTCATTTTGATCAACTCATTTTGATACCTATGAATCCTTCCTAAAACTTACAAGGGAAACAGATTAAGTTAACACAAATTATGCAGCAAGGGCACTTCCAAAAATAATAAAACAAACGGAAGTTGGAAAACTAGAATGTGGAAATATTTTCTTTCATTTTTTTAAGTTTTATTTTTACAGAAGCCAAAAGCCACCAGATTTCATGATCCATGAAGAACAAGGTTCGAAGCCAAACCATGTTAGATGAGCATGCAGGGTACTGATTCTTCAACTCACCTGCTGTAGGAGGAGGAACAGGAGAGGAAGGTGATGTTAGAGGGGAACTTGTGCCAGACCCTGCTGGATAAGAAATATTCACAATTAGCATGAAGATCATTTCAGTTTCAACACTTTTTTTTTTTTTAGTGAGAAAGAGACTTCCAAACTAAAGGGCACGTCCCGAAGTAGTAATATAAAAGGCGATTTGGGCCAAACTATAGATACATACCAGTGGTGGGATTCAAATAATTTAACAACCGGTTCTCTGCCCTAATGACTATCTGGGTAGGTGGGGCTCGGTGGTCATGTGACTGGGTGGGC